TGAATGTTGGAGATTAGATATTAAATATGAGCTCAGTACTCTTTTCTTTGTTTCTAATGATATTTCTTGTCTCTTAATATTTTGCTTAGTTTCTCCAAGGCATCATCTGCTATTCAAATATGCCTTTGATTTTTCTTTGCCAGATTATCCGTTACTACACTATCTAAATTTCATTTAAAGTGTTAGAATCAATTTACATTAAGTCCTACCAGCCATTTCTCTGTAAGTAGGAGGAGAGTTTAGGTTTAAATGTAATTAGCCTGTAATTATTATATATTTTATATAACATTTGGTCTTTGGTATTCATATTAGTCATTGTGCACATTTATCATCCCCGATTGAGCTCTTAGAAGACCAATAAACAAGGTTTACCTGCTCTTTTGTTAATCAGGTTTCGATATTACCACATTATGGTAATCTATTTTTTTTTTCTTGTTTTAATGTGTCCATTTTTTATTGCTTTTATCTAAGTAACTAAATTTCTACATTCACTTTATTTTGACATCTCTAACACAGTTCACACTTCAACAATCAACACCACAGGTTTAATAAAGAGTTCAATTAGAAATTCCAACAATGTTAATACAACATGCATCTGAATAAAGCAAGAAAATATAGTGACAAAAAATAGTATGACTAAGGTAGTCAAGATGAGGCCAACTGTTTAACTAAATCAGTATATTATAGCAATAATAATAATTTAGACAAATTTTAAAAATAAGATAACACAAAAAAGGTATCTAATTGTCCAAATATCTCTTGGAATGAGGTAAATTAGATTTTCCTAGTGAAAATTGCATATAGAATATCTGTGTTAGTGAGTTTCACTCTGAATTTGTAATGAGGGTTCAAGAAGCTAATATACCTTTTTGGTTAAATTTAGTTCATTTTCACATATTTTAGCAATGAATAATTTGTAAATAAATACTCTGGGATATATTACATGAGCTTGTCTCACATGTATTATGCATATAATTCCTTATCAGTAAAAAAGAAAATAAAAAAATCTCCGGCAAAAATCCAGGTTTAGGGAAAAGAAGGGAAAAAATATCTCCACCTAGTCTCAAAGCAACAGGCAAAATCTATAAGAGAAAGGTGTCAAATATATTAACATGAGATATTTACAAATGTTTTTTTTACCCCCAAAAGATACCTAAACAGTTTATTATATATATATATATATATATATATATATAAGTTTTATATGCAGGCAAATATCAACATTCCACAGCTAATGAGAGAGATTAAGTTATTTTGTTAATTAGAGCTTATTTCCATAGGAATTGCAACCAGCACCAGTTCATTTGCTTGGCAGGCCAAGAGATGAGAGCCCCAAGTCTAGACTAAATTAATCCTTTCACTACAAAAGATGCTCTTAACTGTGTAGATTTTCTGGCCAATGATTTTCTGATTTACAGCTGTATGTGGCTGTGTAATACTAAAGATTACATCTTCTGCTAAGTACTAAAGCAGATAGTCTTTCATAAAAAAAGAAAGAAAATGAGACCGAAGTCTTTATCTTCTAATGAAACATAGTTAAGGGAATGAATAAAATAGCGAAGAAGAATGACAAACAACAATCTGGAACAACAAGTTTAAGATGAGTGACGTACTCCATTTTTTCATACTACTGTTGACTCAATACAATGCCCAAGAGCCACTCAAAGTAGAGGATTACTGAATGACGTTGATGGAAGGGCATAAAGGGAGAAAGTAAGAAAGGCATATCATGAGAATATATAGAATAGATTTCAGTTGACCCTGAACTTAAAGTGGCTAAGATTGTAATGATCGGGGAAGCATCCTCTTGGGAGTCTGTTCCATAAGATAACAATTCTGAGGAAGAAGCTGTCTGGGTAGAACTTCTTCCTTACCAATGGAATATGAAGAGAATGAGGATGAGTTGACTGTGTACTTGGCATGGCTGGATCTCACTGTGAAGGTCTGGACTGGCGGAACTAAGGAATGTAGCTCGATTGAACATTTGTCATTATAAAATTTACTTGGTATATAATTATATGTGAGAAGAAAAAAAAATACCTTAATTTTCAGTTTAACATGAAGTTCAAACAGATAAAAAATGATATGAATCAGGTACAGTATACTTTATATGGTTAGTATAGTCTATAAGTTGACAGATGAAAGTGCTCTGCTGAGAACCAACAGTTAACAACTTGATATATATTGCATATTAAAAAGAATGTAAAGCAAGCTAAACTGTTCTTTTTAGCACTTTACAAAGTAAAATATATAAGTAAATTCTGATAGAAAACTGAATTACATACCTCCATCCACAAAGCTTGAATCAAGTTAGGTATAAATGAATACAATCCGCAGAAACAAAGAAAGTAGACACTTACCTGAAAGAAAAAAAGAAAAATATGCCTTTTAGTATGTCAAGAAATAAATAAAATTTTATAAATTTCTCTTGTAACTGGTTGTGTGTTAGATATTGGCTCAAGTTCTGATTTAAAAAAGAAAAATGTATGTTCAATTTTGCTATTAAATGAAGCAAAAATTAATTTAATAATTTCTGCTTGTACTAAATTTCCTTTTGGCTTTTTTTTAAATCTTTCCAGCATAAAATATATCAGGGTCAGTCAGTGAAGGTTATATATTTTAAAAGTTTAACAGTAAAAACTTTTTCAATATTGTGATTAAGAAAATATTAACACTTTCACTGCTATAAACATAATTCCAAGTTATTACAAAACTTACATTGCCTTCAGTTCATGGATGTATACATTTTCAAGTCACGGTGAAATGTTGGTCCCAAGCAATTCTACCTATTGTTGGAGGCGTGGTTTAGCTTAGCATGTACTGCAGAGTATCTGATCAAAGCCAAAACAGTAGTGACCGTAAAAATTTGCTGTCAGTGTCTTTATAGTCATTTATTTCCCTAAATGGCAATTTCATGTGTTTTCCCAAATGGGCCAGTACAGTCAGGCAACAATGTTACAATAATGCAGAATGTGAATGTGTTAAAAAAAAAAAAAAAAACCTTAAGTCAGCCAGAATGTATAGTTGTCAGCAAAAGGAACAGTGCAAGAAGTGAACAACAAATTGAAAACACTTAATGAAGAGAGTACAACAATTTAAATATCTAGGAAGTGTTTTAACAGAGGATGAAAACTGTGACACCAAAATCTGAAGTGGCACTGAGATAGTGAAAGATGCCTTCCAAATGCTAAGCAAAATATTAAGAAATGGAATCATTGAAAAAAGAATGGTATCAATTAACAAACTTTTACTTTGAGAAACTTGCAACAAATGACCAAACTTTGTGCTGCAGTAGTCAAGGCTAAAGAAGGCTATTTTGACAAGAGCAAAATTTAATCACAAAATGCCTTTTTTTTTCTTTGTCTTAATAACACTTCTAATAAAAAAAAAAATCATATCTTGCTTTTTTTTTTAACCATGTATAATTTTCTCTAATTTAAAGTACAAAACAAATACTTTTCAGAAAAATTTAAGAAGTTACCAAGGGTGGGCCTCAAACATTTGAACTGTAGTCTATCTACTGGATAATTTAGAAAACTAAAAAAAAAAAAATTAATAATGACATTTCTGATATTTATCAGCTTGCACTTGACTTGTTCCCTATAATTCTATACACTTGTCTTATAAATCCAATATGATTTACATGACAGCACATTGTTATTCTCAAAAAATTGCTTATTCAATATTCACTCACAAAAAAAAAAAAAAAAAAGAAATAAAATAAAATTCTTATAATCCAAAATATGTTTTAGCTTTAAATAACCCACCAAGGGTTGATAAGCCATAAAAAAAAAAAAAAAAAAAAAAAAAAAAAATCAATCGGCTACATGACAACATTGACGAGAAAAAAGAAAAATGAATATAATGGTAAATTTGAATGCAATGATCTTGTGAATTTATTCTGCTTCAGTTGAATTGAAATAAGAATTACCCTATTTATTTATTTATCGAAGAGATCTCAAAAATGACATTAGTGTTGCGTGGTTGTCAGCAGGGAAACGAAACAACAAAATTCCACATCTTTCATGTATACAGTGTTCATTCCTCTGAGCAAAAATCTTTCTTTTTTTTTACTTTTCATTGAATGAACCCCTTAACTGCTGTTATCTTTGGAGTTGAGAGAAAACTTGCATCTTCTGGGATATGATATTCATTATATCATGTAGTGATTCAACCTCAGAAAATACTTGCACTCTCACTCACTATCAATTGTTAACCCTTCTCTTATAAAATTTATGCATTTATTTAAAACTAAAAAAAAAAAAAAAATGTGGCTTCTCTTCTATTCCATTTCCCTCTCTACTGTTAGTTCTTTTTCTAATCCCCCTCTATTTGTTCCTCCCAGTCTCTCTCTCTCTCTTTCTCTACTGATTTCTCTGGATTAAAGTCAAGATATTAAAATTTGGCCACCTCAACATAGGGCAATAGCTAATAAATCAGACTAGTACATCATTATAACAGCATAGTTCAATCTTCACTGGGTCCTCTACATTTATAGCCTTCTATATCTTCTATCCTTTTGAATGAAGATTTTTTTTTTTAAGTTTTGAGCTAAAGTTGTGTTACTATTATACATTGATTTAATTCAGATTAACTTGTAACCATTCATTCTTCATTATGATACAGTTCCAGGTCACCATTGAACCAAACTAACTGACAAATAAATTGAACTCATAACTTCCAGAGAACCAGATGAACTTCACCATTTTCTTTTTTTATCCACTTGTAAGAATTAATGGCTTTAAGTTCTGAAATTCGCTAAGAATGGGCATTGGAATGACAGAACAGCACATTCCCTGTAGACCAAAGAAAGCCAGTTTTCCCCACTGTGGACTAAAGAAGGCCTGGCACTTTCCCCCAATGTGGACCAAAGAAGGCCTGGCACTTTTCCCCCAATGCGGACCAAATAAGGCCTGGCACTTTTCCCCCAATGCGGACCAAAGAAGGCCTGGCACTTTTCCCCCAATGCGGACCAAAGAAGGCCTGGCACTTTTCCCCCAATGCGGACCAAAGAAGGCCTGGCACGTTTCCCCCAATGCGGACCAAAGAAGGCCTGCCCCAATGCGGACGAAGGCCTGGCACGTTTCCCCAATGCGGACAAAGAAGGCCTGGCACGTTTCCCCCAATGCGGGACCAAAGAAGGCCTGGCACGTTTCCCCCCAATCACGGACCAAAGAAGGCCTGGCACGTTTCCCCCAATGCGGACCAAAGAAGGCCTGGCACGTTTCCCCCAATGCGGACCAAAGAAGGCCTGGCACGTTTCCCCCAATGCGGACCAAAGAAGGCCTGGCACGTTTCCCCCAATGCGGACCCTAAGAAGGCCTGGCACGTTTCCCCAATGCGGACCAAAGAAGGCCTGGCACGTTTCCCCAATGCGGACCAAAGAAGGCCTGGCATTCGCTTCCCCCAATCTTGGACCATGCCATTTCCTGGGACCAAAGAAGGTCCATTTCCCCATGGACCAAAGGTCCCCCATTTCCCACTGTGGACCAAAGGCGGCTCGGTCCATTTCCCACTGTGGACCAAAGGCGGCTCGGTCCATTTCCCACTGTGGACCAAAGGCGGCTCGGTCCATTTCCCACTGTGGACCAGAGGACCAAAGGCTGCTCGGTCCATTCCACCACCAAAGTGGACCAAAGTGGACCAAAAAGCGGTCCATTTCCCACTGTGGACCAAAGGCGGCTCGGTCCATTTCCCACTGTGGACCAAAGGCGGCTCGGTCCATTTCCCACTGTGGACCAAAGAAGGCTCAGCCTGTTTCCTACTGTGGACCAAAGAAGGCTCAGCCTGTTTCCCACTGTAAACCAAAGAAGACCAATCCTATTTCCCCACCATGAAACACACAAGGCCTGGCCCATTCCCACAACATGAACCAAAGAAGACACATTTCTCATGGATCACAGTCAGGGCTCTGTTCCACATTTCTGTCATTGATTGATTTGTTTTTAACAGCTTAACTCTTCATAGCTTATTTAAAGCTGAAATTTATTTGGGATTGTAAGTATAGTTAATTTTTTGCAAAGGTATATTGCATTAACAATTTTCAATAATAACATTAATTTTTCCAAATACAAACTCTACTATTTAACTCATAGATGAGGTGGATTCATGCCTTTCGCAGGGGTATTTGCACACAAGTGAATGCAGCCAACCTGACTGAAATTCAAACTCAGCTCTCTGATATCATATTTCCAACCGCTATCCATTACACCAACTGCACATCCCCACATTCCCATAAGACTACTGAATGAAAACAGGTAATTGATAATTGCTTCAGAGTAAATCAACCAAAATCTTCTAATAATAATGATGATGAAGAAGAAACTGATCCAAGTGTATTCATGTATAATAAAAGGAAATTTTTAACTTGGTTATTTTACTGCATTCATTTTTTTTTCTTGTCTTTCCATGCTTTTGTTTTTATTTAGAAACATTAAAATAATTATTTCACTATCATTTCTCTTCTTTCATACTTCAACATCTTATTTCTATAAATTCATTTGCATGCATAAAACAAATGACCTTCAATCGCTGCTTTGTCCTTGGTACAGTTACTCTGAAGAGTAGCCATTACTTAATTTTAAAATAGCTCTTTATTTATGTAAACAATGGTTTAATTTTAAACTCACAGGCACAATAAAACGATGGCTATAACCAATGAAAAGATCTTTTTCCTCAATATTGTTTTATTTCATAAGAGCCACCATATTATTTATTCACTCTTTTATAAATAAATACTAGAATGGAGATAATCAGAACAATAGAATTATTGTTTGTATCTCAGCTGGATGTTCTTTTTTTGGTTCTGTTATAAATGTTCATGATGATTAAATATGCTGATAATGATGTTGGAAAGAGTAAAAAAACAAAAAAAAAAAAACATTTCATATTTATATATGCCCTATCCTCTTAGGATGTAGATGATCAACATGTCCTATCCTTTGTAGCTCTCAGCAATATTTGAAACCTTACCATCCATCTCAGTTTTTGTTCATCCATCTATTTACAAAAACTCTTTAGAAAGGTCATTCAATGTTTCCTTCTGTCCCTCTTGCCATCAATATGACCTGTGAGTGTTAAATTCACCAAACCCTCTTTTTTATGAATCTTTCTATCCCTTTTGTTACCATTTTCCTTAAAACTTGCTTGTTGCACATATGGTCCATTCCCAGTATTCTCAGCATACATCTGTAGAAAGAGATCTGTTTCAGCAAATCTCTTTAGAAAGAAAAGCATCTTACCCTATTTCAATGCACCTTTGGATTTAAATCATATGTTGAAACCTTTTTTCAAGTAATTAAATTTCTGTACTTGCTGGATTCTGATGTCTCCAATTTATAGATCACATCTTAAGCGATCCTACACTTTGTCATCACACTTTATGGTTAGTCCTTTTCTTCCTGCTTTCTTTTACTATCTTGTGTAGGAGTTTCCTGCAGTTTTCTGTATCTGTCATAGCTGAATCTTTTTTTTCTTGTGTATTTGCAGATGGTTAGTTTAAAGCGCCAACTTTATCTCTTGAAGTTTAATGAAATCTTTATTGGACATTTTTGGGAACCTTATGATGATAAAGATTCATCAACTCAGGCATTTTCACCATTCCTTATCGCGGCTTCTTGTATTCTTCTCAAGGACTCTTTCACAGATTAACATCCAGACAGACTTTAGAGTTAATTATTTGCTAATCTTTACAGCATTTATTTCCAAGAGGGTTCCAAATTTGCATCACATATGTTTCAGAGGAATACTGTTTTTAGTCAGTTTAAAAACTCCTTAAAGAAAAAATAACTTAACATCAGATGATTAAATTAAAAACCAATACTTCTAATTTATAATAGGGATGTCCTTAAGGAAAGACTCTCACAGTTATTAATTTTGAATAGTAAAGAAATGAACTTTAAAACAACCACTTATAGAAATACAAATCCCTGACAAAAACAGATGAAAGTATAATTTTCAATTAAAACTAAGAATTGCTTATTCCCACATCAAAGAGGTAGATTGGATCTAAAAAGATCTACTTTGAAAATAACTAACAAATTATGTCAATGATGTTTTTTCAATATTTTTTCTTTCTTAATAATGATTGAAAACAGTTGAAACAGTGGACATAGAGGTAAACACTAGTGAGTTTGTTTCATGCTTAAATGCAATCTTTAGGCCACTCATTTTTTAGCAAATCTTTGGATATATAACAATTGCTGAAATGAGAATAGCAATTGAAGAAGAGTGTGCTCAAACACCAGAGGAAATGATACTGGACATTTGTAGGTCTTCAAGATATGAAAAGTTTATTGAGTAGAATGGCAACCAGCTTGAGCACTTGATGTGAACTCATCATTATATGAACATTCTGCCATTGCCCCAAATAGCTTTTATTTTACTAAAATTAATTTTCTATGTTTTTTGTATATTTTACTCTCAAATTCTTTAAATGTGTATTCTTTCTCTTGTATTAATCTTATTTACAAGTCAAAATACATAAATTGAATAAGTTATAACGATTTAAACAGTGTATACATTATTTTGGGACACTGTGTGTGTGTATGTATATATATATATATATATATATATATATATGTGTGTGTGTATGTGTGTGTATATGTGTGTATGTATGTATGTACCACCAAAGATTTCCTAAAAAATGAGCATACATAACGAAAAAAAAACGCACCAAACCTAATAAAAACAAAGTTTTATGATCATTGTTATTATTCAGAAGAAAGACCATAAAGATTATTAAATTATATTTCTTATCCTTTCTAGAACATTAAAAATTTTGTTTTTCTAGTGTCATCAGGTGACCATAAATTAGTATAGGAAATGTTAACATCTTTCTGCAGTGAAAAAAAAAACACACTGATTAGGAAATTTTTGCAAAAATCAAATTATCGGATTTTAATGAAACTTGTAGGACTTAAAATGAATTAAATTATTTAAAAAAAATTTTTTTTTTTTAAAGTTTTGGTGAAAACTTTATTTTTTTACATTTGTTACTCACCACTTATTTAATTCCATGAAATTTTGAGAAATTCATGTCTATACCACTTAATGTTATATTAGTTATAAGCCTAACTCCTTGGAGAATTTAAATCAATTTTTTTTTTTTTGCAAAACAGAACCCAGAGTTACTGAAAATCTGCTCTGACTGGTAAGATAAAAAAAATGAAATGTAACTAAGACTGGATTTAATTAAAAAGCATTTAATTGCCTTAATTAGATTAATTAGAAAAGCTTTTAATTACTTTTATGATTAGGACATATTATGGACACTGTTGTCTTAAGAAAACATTTTTTTTCAATTAATAATGAATTTTTATAATCATTTTCATTTTTTCAAATTTTACTTTATAATTTATTAAGTTTTAAATATTTTAAAATTCTGTGTTAATACAGGTTAGATTATATTGTGATTAAGTAAAAACCATATTAATTAATTATAAAAGGAAATGCTTACTACAATTTAGCAACCACCTGTATATTAAAAAGTATCTAAAATTTTTTGTATGTGCATAAATGTGCTGATTTTTGTAAATATGGGCATCCATATATGACATTATCAGAAAATAAAAGTGGTAACACTTTTCTTTGGTAGTATATATATATGTATATAATTGAGCACTCTACCATAATGTACGTACCAAATTTTAAACTATACAGGATGTCACCAGAAAAATGTACTCACTCTTTAAATGACAATAAATGCAATGTAATTCTAAAGATTTGCTTAAAAAAAGAGCAAAAAACATCAATAAAATTTGCAAACAAGATTAATGGTTAAAATTAAGAGATATTAATGTTTATTGACCCACAAAGAAGATTAATGGTTTAAATTAAATGAATAAAGACAAAAGGAAAACTTAGCTAAACATTTTAACCTTCAAGGGACTTTATCAAGGCAAATATAAGGATTTTATTTTGTGGCAAGTATTTATAGACAGGAGAAAAAAGTTTTTTTAAAAGTAAATATTAAATGAAATTATATACATGTTTATAAATATTAAAACTGACAATTAAGTCAAAGAGTGAGTACATTTTGGGGACACACCGTGTGTGAATATATATGTAAACAGAAACAGACTATCATTACTGTCTTGTCCGTGGATTGCTTAATATATTGTAATGTAATTGTCATCTTTGATAATGGCTTATGTAAGCCAAAAGCTTAGATAGGATTAAAAAATATGTATCAATATTGTGATTTTCTTTCTTCATTTAATGATAATGTTATTAAGCTTATCAGACGATATGAAAAGAATTTACATAAAATAAATAGACAACACTTGTCTATATTATTTAATGAAACATGTATCAATGAAAAAATTCTACATATATATATATATATATATATTATATATATAAATATGAAATGGACAAAGTCCGACAATTATTTAAAGACATTTTTATGTTTAACATTCTTTTTATAGATACAAGTATTTTAGTAAATTCTCTGTTTTATAAATGTTATTTAATACTGTTTATTATAAACAGAGCATTTACTAAAATACTTGTATCTATAAAAAGAATGTTAAACATAAAATGTCTTTATATATATATATATATATATATATATATATATATATATATATATATATATATATATATATCATACCTACTTTCATGTTCTCAATCTTTCTATTTCACCCACACCCAATGTAAAAATAAATAAATTTTTCATTCACAATATTCCCCAAAGTATCATGTGCTGACACTCCATTATTACAAATTGTTCATCTCTCTTCACAGGTTTCAGGAATGCTTCATTTCACACCTGTGCAGAACCATTCATAAAATATTTTATCCAGGTACTTTTGTGTTTACACACACATCTATATAG